ATCATTTGAGTGAACAACAAAATAACATCTTATAAAAACAGACAAGTAAGTGAAAAAGGTGAAATTATATAAAAATTTACCGCAAAACATTTCTTTCACATTTATGTTGACTATATAAGGTTTAATTAATTGTAAAATAGGGATGAAGACTAATTCCTCCTTTGGAAATCGTTATAAACATTTGTATCTGGAATAAGTGTATTTTTTTTTCTGGATAGAAAACAATACACATATTGCTTCCTTGTAGCAGAAGAGCAAAAAGACTCCTTTCAAAACTATGTCTCTATTACTGTTACTGTGTTCTATATGCATTTGAAGAAGAAACATTATCAATCAATTAATTCTTCACATTTTAAACATAACTGTCACCTTATGGAGAATGCTGAGAATATCTTCTCCTTTGCCTTAAATATGGAAGGCACTTGTGTTAAAAGAGGAGGATCTTTATTTCCTGAGAGTTCATCTATGCCTGCTGGTTATTCCCCAGCTCAAATCATAATCTTGTTTGCAACATCATAATCATTTACCCAGTGAACAATCAGGGTGTCACTAACAAAGAATTATGACTTTAGGTAGGGGATAAACTACAGGCACAGATGAACTCAAAGGAAATAAACATTGTTTTCATGCAAATGTGGCTAGTAATAAATAACTAGGGATAAAAATTATGATGAAACAGAATATCCTATAAAAACAGATTTGGGAATGTATAAATAGTATGTTTTGACTTTTCTCTGGAAGTATGATGTAAAGAATGTTTATAAAGTGTTAGAAAAATTTTAGTATTTAAAAGCTTATAATATATACTGTAGAAGAAAGTTATGGGTGTATGTATCAATGTTTCAGAAATAATTTCAATAGAACAATTTTAAGTATCTAGCTTTTAATGTAAACACTGGCATTATGCATCATTCAGTCTAATTATTCAGTTCACTGAGAGAGCACTTCCCATTTTTGATGTTCAGTGGGCTTTGTCCATTATTTATGTCTATGTGACCCTAAATTCACATACCAATCCACCCTTAATTCATCCATATACTCAAAAATTATGGCATAAACTCATGAAAAGTGATAATAATTAGCATGGCACAGCCTTTTCTGGCTCCAACATGTTTTTGCATTCCTAACTTCATCTTATTCTCACAAAATGAATAGCAACCTGAGATAGATCCCACATTTCTCTCACTATATATATGATATTGTCTCCCTTGGCAAAGTTGGGGACTGAAAAGGCTTATCACTTGAATCCTGCAAATTCATTCATCTTCTAATCTGAGTTAGGCATTGGGTGGGGCTATGCACAGTGGTGAACTAAATGGACACAGTAATGCTATATTGAAATTTTTAATGTAGTCATAATATCTTGAAAAGCACACAACTGTATTGATAAGTGATAAAGAAAGAATAAAAGGACAAGGGAAATCAGTTTGCATAGAGATTAGAGAAAGTTCTTTTACAAGGTATATTTTGAAACCTAAAAGATCAGAAATAGCAAGTGTCAAAACCTGGATGACATGAGCATTGTTTAAAATCTTTCCAAAAACTGAATCAGAGACAGAAGGAAAAGCTTTTTCTGAATCAGTGCAGTGTTTAAATATCTGAGTGTCTTATTACAGAGGTTAAGTCATTTTTAAACACTTATTCATTGAAGAATGCTGTCTGTGAACCTCACATATCTGGTACATTGTGAAACAATCTTAAGGGCATCAGGAAAAAACTGACCTGTGTTGCGTCCCCTAGAGTGCAGTAGACGTGAGTGGCTTCAATGGATATCAAACACTATACTCAAACCACCAAATACAACATAATAACATTTGTCTCCATTGTATGGATATACATAGCTGTAAAATTATGGAATTTAATATGGCTAATAGAAAATTAGGAGAATCTGGGTTCAAATTTCCAAATATCAACATATTTATAAATTCATGTAGTTATATAATAGTTTTTACAGGTCCACTGTATTAACTACAGTATTAGAAATATGGTTAGCGTTCTTCTGGAATATCAATCTCTCTTTCAGTTCCATAGTCAGAGTTAGGTGTAGGCCTTTAACAGCAATTTTAAGCTCAAACTCCAAAATGAGAGAACACATCGAAGCTGCTTCAGGCAAAGGCTCTAATCTTATTTAGTTTTTAATTCTTCATTAGACTAATAGCAATGGAATTAAGGAACTTTCCTAAATGTGTGGTTATGGGAATCAAATAAAAGGAGAGGAAGTCTGCTCTCTTCTCTGCCATAGAGGACCCTCATGTATAATTTCAATATTGTATTGGAAGTTAAATTAGAAAGTCTGTATGGCACTTTTCTTACCTCAGATTTTGGCCAGAGATGCATTAATGCTGATTAATCATCAGCTTAATATTCATTTCAACATTCTTATATTGTAAAAGACAGTGACATCATATAAAATCTTCTGAGCCAGTTCATAAAAGATAGAAGCTGTGGCTGAATACATAGAAGGAATCATAGTGGTCCAATTGTTCTCTAATAAAAATAAGACAACACTTCCTTCACATTGAGAAAAGCACTTGAGTTTTACAAATGGCATTTCAAGGAACAATTTGCTCCTTCTTGAGAAAAGAAACAAAGGTTGTCTCAGAGCAACCGAGAAGTCAAGAAATTTAAAACCTGAGCAGATACAGTAAAAGGAAAAAAAAAAAAACTTTTCCTATATTAAAAGATGAACATTCAACCCCCTTTAACCACAGATACTGAAACTCAGAGAGCCAGCAGCCTCTGGATGAGATGCCAGGAGGGCTTTTCATACAGGTGGTGAAGATTCAAGAGTGACTCACTGTTGTGTCTAGGGGATTGTGATAGAGGAAGTGTCATGAGGAAAGTAAAAGTTACTTTAGGAGTCACAGTCTTTCTGAAGACACTTGTTTTTTGCAACATTTTATTCTAACAATATGACTAGCTTGCTTTTGCTTATTATCCACTTATATCATGTTCAATAAAGGGGACTGTTATAGTAAAAGACATAGAAACAGCTATAAGTCTCATCATTGTCTAACCTGTCAGTAAGTGATAGGTTCAGGTTCCAGTGCAATTTATTGATGCCATGAGAAAAGTATCAAAGATAAATTTTCACGAATGGTCATCTGTCTTGTATAATGGGTTACTGCTCAGAAACACATAGATGACAAAAAGAGTTTGAACCCTGAGACATGGCTGTTTTGGTGAAAGTACACAGCCAGCCTTCAGAATATTTTTTCTGATGTCAACAAATTTCACAAGGGAAAACTATCCTAAAATGGCCCAAGGTTACAACCACAAAATTATCCCACATGAATTCTCTTGTGCTTTTTTGTTCTTCCTTAAGTGAAACCTGAACCCCACCCTCTGCTACTCAGCATGACCAATAAAACGCTTCCGATGGGTTAATTTCCTTTGACTATGTTATGCTTTGCATAGGTGGTATACCCCCAAACTCCTACATTAATGCAGTTATATTCAGAAGTGAAATGATTGGATTGGGAGTGCTGTAATCTAATCAGGTTGTTCCAGTATGAACTGACTGACTGGTAGGTAACTGTAGGCAGATGAGGTCTGGCTGGAGGAGGTGGGTCACTAAGGACATGCCCTAGAAGACTGCATCTGCCCTGTACCCGCTTCTCCCTCCCCTCTCTGCTTCTTGAACCTGCCATGAACTGAGCTGCTTTCCTCTGCTGGACCCTTCTGTAGTGATGTGCTGCCTCAGCTTGGACCCAGAGCAATGAAGCTGGCCATGTATGAACTGAGACTTCTGAAACCATGAGTCCTGAATAAGTTTTTCCTCCTCTAAATTTTTATGGTTGGATATTTTGCTTACAGTTATATAAAACCTGACTTCTGGAGGTCCTTCAAACTGCCTAGATTAGCATTCTCCACACAAAGAACCTGCAGTGAATTTGTGTGGGTAAGGGGTATTATGGAGAAAGAGAGATCCATTCTAAGAAATTGGCTCACACAGTTAAGGCACTAGCAAGTCCAAAATTTGTAAGGCAGGATGTCAGGCTAAAGATCCAGAGGAGAAATGTTGTTGCATCTCTTTGCCCAAAGGCAAAGTGAAGGCAGAATTCCCTAAACTTCAGAGTATCTCAGGTGTTTCACATATTCATACAATGTTTGAATAAAGCTCATCCACATTGTGGAGAATAATCAGTTTTAATCAATGTCTACTTATATATTAATCTCATCCAAAAAAAATCTTTACAGAAACATCTATGATAATGTTTGAACAAAAAAAAAAAAACAAAAAAATAATATAGCCCATATATTAACTGGGCTAGTTTAGTACCATAAACTAGCCCAGTTAATATATGAAACTAACCATAACATTGGCCTTACCCAAATAAGATGCTTTAGGGTGTTTTCAGTGATTTACTAGGAAAAAAAAAAAGTATGACAAATATGTCAGCTTTATTTTGTGTCTTTTTTTTTCTCTTTTTTTTTAAAACTTTTTTCCCTCCTAGCATCAATTTTTGAAGCTACCAGACTTCTATAAATGTCAAAAATACTCATGGGGGAAAAAAGGCACTGCAATTACAGGCTCAATTGATGACCTTGACTACTATGACATGATTATCAAATGTACTCTATTTTTAATGACAATTACTTAAAATTTAACTGAATATTTAAATATTACTTTAAATATAATAAAAATATTTGAATATTACCTTAAATATAAACCTACCTGTTGTATGGTAAATTTTATAGACATAGTTATCACTATTATTTCTTAAAATTTACCAAATTTTACTAATATAATCTGCAATAGAGATTGGTATTTGACATATATCATTTGGGAGTAAAAGATTTTAAAGTTAAAACTTCACTAACTTTTATTAGTTTACAATCCTTGAAACATCAAAGACATTAATAATCAAAATCTTCAGCACCAGGACAGGTAATCAGGTAATCACTTAGTTGCTTTTTTTTTTTTTTTTTTTTTTTTTTTTTTTTAGTTGTGTGCTTTATTCTGGGTAACAAATGGAAAAGTAATGAACAAATGACCATTAAATACTCTTTGACCACGGTAGTGTGATGACATGTTGCTTGTCAAGGAAATCTTCCTCCTCATCTGTACTGCTCTCAGAAAGTGGCAGCAAAGATTGCATTTCAGTATCTTTTCCATAAGAGCTGGAAATACATTAAAAGATCAATACACAATATACAGAACCTAGTTTCAACTTTCATTTATCTTCTGATCAATACTACATGTGTTGAAGTCATTGAAAGCAAGCAGATATGAGGGTATTGCATCAGATTGGGGCCATAATTTTCAATGTGCCCAATTTAGCAAGCCTTGCTTTAATGAGAAATTCTCATCGGTCTCCCTCTCCCAAGAAATAAAACCACAATGGAACCAAGGAGAGATAATTTTATGGTCTCTGGTTGTCTTTCATTGATGATTCAGAAAGCACCTCAGAAACTTGCAAAGCCTCAGGGCCATCATTAAGAACATTCATCATTACATTGGCTGCTTAATAGAATTCCAACGAATAGACTGCCAGATAAATCACCTCTTTTGTGTACAGTAAATTAGGACTATGTGGATAGCCAGTCAAGACATGCCGAAACCAAAATTAATGAAAGCAATTATATGTTAGTTTATTTGGTTGCATTTTATTGTGGGAGGGGCAGAGACTGACAGAAGCTTTAGCACATAGATGTATTAGGATTAGGATCAGCATATTGCATATATTTTGTTCCAAAGTTATCTAGATTTTCTCCTTATATATGCCTCCAAATAGGAAATACTTCCCCCTGTGATGGATACAACGGTTTTTATTATCATTATTATTATTTTCACGTCCAACACAGGCTAAACAGATCATAAACTCTGGCCAGTGAACCAGTACAGGAGCAACTGTGACAAAATGTTCACTTATCAAAGAAGAGAGAATATAAAGAAAAGGTAAAGACTTTTTCATAACATTCTTGATTTCAAAGCACTGCGTTTTTATGGTCCCCTTGTATTGTTAGTATTAAATGCCGTTTCTTTTATGAAATGATGGTGGGTGTACACATAGGTTTACTTTGCTTTAACGATCTTTTTAATGAAAAATAGTAACCTCAAATTGATCCCTTTATTTTAATGCAAGAGTGTAAAAAAATGCAAAAATCCAAGAACCAAGGTTCTTGATTTCCTCCTTGAGAAAGAGTAAACAACTTCGATAACCCTTTACTACAATTTTGAACTTGAAACCAATCAAAGGAGTTTCCAATTCAAAAGGGACTTTTATTTTGTACTTATCTTAGTCTTTCTAAATGGAACAATACTCCATTTCCAAAAATTCCAATATATCAATTATAGATTGATAAGATAAACTTCTTTTATGAAGAATTTGTTAGTGTAAACTATAGTCCTTATAAACTTATCACCATCACTTTTATTTCCTTATATGAGGAAATAAAGAAATGATACAAATAAAAACATCGTATCATTAATAATTTAGAATACATTTCAAGAAAGAAACTTAACAATGTTCTATTCTAAAAACTTTACTTCCATTAGGTAAGATTCTACTGATGCAAAATATTGAAATTTATGGAGTTAATTAACTTGGGTAGAACAATTTTTTTTTCAATATAAGAAATTGAAATGCTGAAGGATTACTAAATTCCAGATGTCTCTCCAATTTTATGATACACATTGTTCAGCAGAGAACTATCTTTTGACATGAAAGTAACAACTTTATAAGCCTTTTACTAAATCCTGATAAGAGCTCAGCAAAGGAAGCAAATATTTTACTAAGAATGGTCATATAAATTACACACATGAAGGCACTTTTTATTTATGAAGATAACAAGTTGGGGCTTGTCCAAATTTTACTACTTACTATATTTATATACAAATTGCAGTATTAACTTACCTTAATTCTTCAACTCCACAGGGATCCCACATCTGTGAGCTCTTTCCAAGGGATTCTGTGGAAGTCTGACTTATACTCAGAGAATGATTGTTGAAGGCTGGTAACTCTTCTGAGGTTAGGCTGTAAAGCTTTTCTGAAGGATCTGAAATATTTTATTTCATGCATTGTCAACACATAAATTCAAGAAACAAATGCTCAGCATATGGTGCTGGAAGTTTACCCAGAATAAACTACAAGCAGAACAAAGAGGATCAGCACAGATTTTTAATCATCCCTCAGTTTTCTAATGTTTGTTAGCTGATGGAGTGTGAGGTAAGTTTAATCTGAGATTCCAAATCAGGGGATGTGGTTTTTGGGGGTGTGGCTCAGTGGCAGACCTTATTCTTAGAATGTGCCAGGCCTGGGTTCAATCCCTAGCACAAGTAACAAAGAGAAAAAAGAAAAGAAAACCAAATAAATTAGGGCAGGAGTATCAAGTCATCTTAATCCTATTGATTTTTTAAATGTATATTATGCTTATGAAATGTGTCAAATGTCCTATGAATTCACAAAATTTCATAAGAAATGATCTATAAAGTTGGAATACCGTGCAGCTCCTTGACTTGCCTGCGTGTTAGACACTTCATTATGAATTCTTTTCTTCTAAGAAATAAAAGCTTCACTCCACCTTCTAAATAAAAGGTGAGCCTTGGCAAAGTTGCTCTTTTTTTTTTGCATTTGTGCTTTGTTCGGGTAAATAACTATTTATATTTGAAGGAGACAAAGCCTTTTTATCAAGCTGGCTTATGATTCAGCTGAAGTATGGACAAATAGTACAAATTAAATAAATAAAATGTTTAAGCAAATATACCTTATATAAATTATCATAAATTCAAACATAGACATAAATACCACTGCAATAAAAAGGCTTTAATACCTTTTCAACATTGATTAAGTTGTACAAGCCATCTAACTTGTACATAAAGTTTTACTAAGTTGGCTTTTGAAAGCTATCAAAATTGCTAGGTGTTATTATTTTTCCTTCACTCTTACCAAAGAGCCAAGTGTTCACCCCTGATCAGAAGCCCTAACACCAAGCTACACACTTTCTACACTGGACTCAGCAGATTTTCTTCCTTCCTTCCTTCTTCTCTATCTTTTCTTCATTCTTTTTTTTTCTTTCTTTGTGGTAGGTAGTAACTCACAATTTTGAGCAAGCAGAAATTCTCCAAACTGAATGTAAATAAATTACATTGCTCTTGTTAAAAGACACATCTCCATACATTTACAGATGGAAGGGTCCTTAAAATTATTCAACCCTGTGACTTTCAAATTGTGATACATGTTTAAATTCAGTAGGTTTAGGATGATGAAGTTCCTATCTCCACCATTATAGAAACAATCAGGACCACTTTATTTGATCTAGTTAAAATTCTATATAATAATAATATTTGGGAAAAAATCCAAAAGATTCTTGTACTAAACATTTTGAAACAACCTAACTACTCACATCCTTACTTAGAGATTAGGAAAGTGGGGGCCCACAGAAAAGTGATAACCTATTGAAAGTCACACATGCATAGAGGAAGAGTTGGAACTAGATCTGTATTCTTTTAGGTCACCAACATTGTAAATCACTGTGTTCTAGAATCTAAGTTTTCAGTTTCAAGGTATTGTTTTTCTCTCCTGTTTCCCACAAGGTGAAACAAGATAGTGCCCCAATGCATGTTTTTATTCTCCAATGAAGGGACTGCTCCCAAAAAAGAGCAATCAGTTCAGGTTTGGGAATAGGTAAAATTCTAAATCCCACAGTGAGGCTTGGTTCTAAGGAATTCCAGCACGACAGGTATTCAAACTCTATTAGATGTCTGAGTTCTAATTCAATGAGTATAGAGCTAATTCATATTGTGCAAATAGAAAGAGCCTGCCTTGTTGAATTATTAATTTTCAAAATTATGTTTTAGAATACCTTGTGAAGTTAACAGGAGCAAATTTGACATCACTTGATTTTAAGAAATGGAAAAATCAAGACAGAGAAAATTAAAACTGTTTACAAAAACCCTATTACAAGTTGGTGTTAAACATATAAGTCGACTATACAAAAATCTCAGTATCTTGATTGTTCTAATAGAGGGCCAACTAAGGCTGGATTGACATCTATACTGAAAAATTTACTTTAAGAATTCAATTGATGGGGAATGGATTGACAGTAAACTTTTCCTATCTCTGATTCTTAGAAATCGCTTAATCACAATAATAAGCAACTAAACAAAAGAGGGAAATCTCAGTAAAGAGAGTTCCAGGGTGCATTTCTGAAGCTCATTTAAAACACATAAAACTATGTTCCATAGGTAAGCACACATTCATCTGAATTTTAAAAAAGGAACATATAAGGACAAAAGGATCGAAAACAACTAAAAATTTTGAAGAATGGAAAACAATCAGGCTATTTATTATCAAGGAACAAGAAAAAAAAGAAAAAATAACTCTCTTAAAATACTACACATCCCCATACCAATATTTACTAGGAGACAAGAACATGCGCCCTATTACCTGTGAGTCCCATTCCTAGTGTGTCAGCCCCCATCTCTCGCCTTCCCTGACTATGTCTTGCCTTTATCTCTCCTTTTCTTATGCTTTCCGTATTTTCACCCCTTCACTTTCACTCTGTCCACACCATTTCCCTCTAATGTGGTTACAACCTTAATTTGAAGAGAGGATTTCACATTATTTTGGATCACTGTCCTGTGACTTGGGGACAGATTGGCTGGGTTTGTACCTTGCCTCTGCTGCAAATGCACGGGAGACAATGTAAAGCTACCACATTGCCCTGAGCCTCAGGTACTGAACCTGAAAGAGACAAATTAAGCACTTGCCTCAACTGCTTCATGGAGCAGCTATTAAAGAACAGGTGACACGTGTAACATATAAAATTCACTAGTGGTTATTATTACTCATCCATATTCCCTTTACCAATTTTTTAATATGCCGATTTTCACTTGTGTGTGCACTCAATTTCTTTTCTGTAATTTAAAAATCACCCTAAAGCAATAAGACTGCCATTGTAGCTCATTATAATCTAGCTGTCTTCACAAGGGTTATCTGGCTTATTTGCTAACTAAAAATCTATTGGGTTTTACAGCTTAATATATTACTTGATGATCAACCTATGAACAGAGACCCCAGTGACTCAAAAAGCCATTGCTACCTTGCTTTATTTCATGGACAGAATGGCTACATCTGCTGGTATCAGGTAGATTCTTTTTATGTCTTCTTTAGGAATAAGTACTTTCCTCTCTTTAATTACTTGGTTCAGTTAACTACCTGCAACTTAGACAAACATAAAATTGCTGTGGGAATATAAGGTCCACAAATACTTAAACCATAACTCAGAATGAGTTTGAAACAAATGAATCATTTTTAACTATTAAAGAAGTAAATGTTATGAAGTATATCATTACTGATCCTTTTTCATAATGCACATTTTCTTATATTTTCCAAATTTTTTCAGTCCATCAGGTCCAAAAATTAGCAAGGTGCCTTAGTAAATAAATTATATTGATAAGTTGAGCTCATTAAGGAAGTGACCATAGTGTTATTTATACACTTGTGGAAGGGATAATAAATGGCATGAACTATACATTAACCATAATCCTCAAAGTAGCCCATAAGAAATCATAGTTTTTAAATGGAAACAGCTTTAAGAGTTGATTAAAATTTGTTGTATGGAGCAAGTACCACCTACTGGTTTCTTACGTAAGTCACCAGCTTTTTGAGAACTTAACTGTGAATTAGGCACTGTGGAGATGGAGATACATTTTCCTAAACGTAATATTTCATATGTAATGTTGTTTGATCATCAATTTTTATTAAACACGACTTTTACATATATTTCATCCACTGAATCTGAGGTAAAGAGATAGTAAGAAAGCAATTTGCCCAATATCATGAAGCTAGCAAGTAATGGGATCAAGTCTGAAAACCAGATTTCCTGATCCTGAGCTGGGCTTTCAATCACCCTGGTTTACTGTCTCCAGTGTCTCGATTCATCAGGAAGTTGATCAGCAATGTGTAAGTATACACACACACACACACACACACACACACACACACACACCTATGCTTATCCTAGCTACTTCTGAAATGGCTCTCTGAGAGCCATAACAATCTGAATTAAAAGAAATAGAAATAGATTATTAAATGTAGTTATTTTCTGTCTTTTATTCTCCCAGCTCCTTGGCACAATTGTTATTTCATAGAGCTTAGAAAAAGGAAGCGGATGTGTCCTAGAGCTGACAGAAAACAAGTTAGAAGGGCTGCTGCTCACAACAATGCAGCATTCACAGGGATGGAAACACATTCACATTTGCAGAAGGGTCAAAATGCGTAGCTGGGTATGTGTGAAGCCAGATGCCCTAAGGAGTTCTCCTAGACTGCTTCCTGGGTAGCGAAATGAAGGTGGAATTTTTCTGCACATTGATGCTAAACAGAGTACAAAGACCTTGTACAGAATCAGTGAATTTTCTAGAGTGAGGTTTCATCACACAGTAGCATCTGTCACCTCACTGAATGTTGGGTTGACTCAGCTAATGTGTCATCATTTCTTCCTCAGAGCTTCAGGTGAACCTCTTCAAAAACTGTGTGCTCATCCAAAGTCAACTCCCCAATGGAAAGAAAGCCAGCCCTGGGTTTAGTGTGTGAGTGTGCTTGTGTAATACTGCTGAATATTAAGAAAATCTCTGGTGGGGGGCCCAGGCTGCTCTGGGTGTGCTTGCTTTCATATATAAAAAGTTATGGGTTTTCAGTGAAAATATTACTGTTATTAGTATAAGTGAGGGCCACAGGGAAAATAGTGTCGCACATCTGAACCAAAATAATAAGGAAAAAGGAAAATCTGGAATGGTAAAAAAAGAAGAATGCTGTTTGTCAACTAATGTATTTTATAAAGGAATTTATAAACTTATGAAACCAAAAAGCCCTTTAATTTCTGATTGAAACTATATGGTTATCCTTTTCAGTCCAGATTTGACATGCTTCAATTAAAAATTGGCATTTAATGTGAGATTTACCTCCCAGAATATTTATATTTATTTTTTAGTAACTTAGAGAAAGGCAAATAAATGAAGGTAAAGAAGGATCACGAATCTTTCTTCCCTAAACCGC